AGTGCAGTATTCCATGAGTGCGTAATATGGTTTTCCAACACGAATTACGTACACTATAAAATTCAAAGCTGATACTATTAAATGTCAACAAATTTTGATGTTTAAATGGCATCCTCGGTATTTTTTTACGTTATTCGATAGAAAATGATACTCTGAGTAGAGAGACATATCATATGTCAGCTTTTAACAGTTTCACATATGATTTATTTGAAAGTGTAACACGCGGTTTATAACGACAATTTGACTCGAAATACCAACTGTGTGGTTTATTCGTAAAAAAATACTTTTTCCAAATATACTAATGAGCCAGCCTCTTTCCATTTGAAAAAAAAATAAGATATGGTTAAAATTACCATTTGGGCATCTTTTAACCGGCCAAGACAAGACATGGAAAACATTAGACGATCAAATCTATTTTTCCCAGGACTCCTCGATTAAAGTTTTGTTTTTAAAAGAGCTATGGCACTCAATATTGAAATTTTAAAAGATTTTTTTTTAAGCTAGAATGCCAAAAGTTGACATATGATATATCATTCTATTCAGAGTGTCATTTTTTATCGAATAAAGTAGAAAAATGCCGAGGTTGCCGTTTAAAAATCAAAAGTTGTAGTAATTTTCGGTGAAACCGGAAGTGACCGAAAAAAATTTAAAACGTTAATCAATCCTAATTTAGGTCATATACTAACACACCAAATCTCGTTTTTTATCTGAAAAAATAAAAAAGTTATAGGGATAAGCCACTTTTGAGACACACCCAGTATATGATTTTTCGTGTAAAAAAATAAAGTGTTCTTGAATAATTCTAATTAGATATTTTAAATAATTTTTTTCCAGTGGCGAAAAACTCAATATTATTTTTAAGAAATAATAAAAATAATTATGCTTTTTTTATAATAAACTAATAAATAATTAACTAAGGCTAATGTAACACTTTGCAATGAAAATTAAATAACCACTTGAAAAATAATTCCATATGCATGCGAGACCACTCTGTAATAACGCCAAAATCAGAGTAATACGCCGAACGTGATCCGCCGTGTATGCTGGGTCCAAAGTCCACACACCAGTAATACACTGGGAAACACGTGCGTGAAGCGGCTTTTGATACCTGCCGCCGGCACAAGTGACGGAACTTATATTTTATTCAGTAAACTTTGCTATTGGTATGGTCGGCTAATAAAGAAGAGTACGGGCCCAAGGTTATTATATTCAACAGGTTGTCTCGTAACTTTGGACCAATCACAGTAGTTGGCGCGATGACGTCAGCTAGTGTGATATTTAAAATAACTATTAACAAAAGGTTTAATAATAATAAAAATTACGTAAGTTATATTGTTCTTTTATAAAATCTTTATTTATTTTTCTCTAATTTTGCTGACATTTAACATATTTAAGCAATACTTGTATTCGAAAAAAATAGTTTTAGCTTTTTACCATGTTAAAAGTTGTTAAAATATCGAACACTAGTCGAAATAATTTATTATAAATATTATACATCACTAAGTAAAAATAATACTGAACATTATAGGCTGTTATATGTAGTAATGATTCCCATTTCTAAGAAAAATTTGATAAATAATTTAAATAATAAATATTTTTATATCTAGTTCATGAGTTTAATACTTTCAGTATACTAAAACTAAAAAAAATGTAGTACGTCCCTAAAACTGCCCTATAATGCACTTAATACACGGAAAACAATATAAAATTACTTGTAAACAAGCTGAAAACTGCTTAGTACCTACCATGTACCTACCATGTACCTACCTACCACACGTTGACGCGCAATATGGTGGCTAATGTCAAGTGTCAAGTTACGAGGCAACCTGTTTAATTTCATAATCTTGGTATGGACCAAGTAAATGAAATTTAGTTTTGCTTGGCCTCGCCAAAATTATCATTGATTGTCACCAGTGGCGGCTCGTGGGTATAAAATTACGTGAAGAGTTTTTTAAAATATTATTTGAAAAAATTTTGTTTCATTCACCATTTTGTCAACATTTTTTTGTTATTATTTATACACTGATATCTATAATATTTTCGTTTTAGTTTGGGTTAAAACACATTAAGTAAAAAGAGATACAACCAGTTTTCGATAAACACATTATTTTGCATTCCAGTAAAAATATAATTAAATTGAAATTAAATATAATAAACATTATATACAGTGTCCCCCATAAAGTTGGATCCATATGGACGTTTTTTCTTATATTAGAGTTTTAAAAAATCTTTTTGTGGCAATCACTTCTGCTTTGAAAATAACTTAAAATGCACCAAGTCATAGTTGACAGCTAACATCTGGAACCTGTCAAATACAAAATATTTAAAAGAAATTTTTAAAAATTAATTGGTTAACTTATTATTATTTTAAAAAAGGTGACTAACAAAATTATGTTTCACCTTTGACTTGGTGCATTTTAAGTTGTTTTTAAAGTAGAATTGATTGCCACAAAAAGTTTTTTTAAACTCTAATACCAAAAAAAACTTCCAACTTTATGGCGAACACTGTATTTATTGAAGGACTTCCCCGAAAAACGTAACCGACATTTTTTTTCAAAACAGAGAATTCAGTGAAATACGTTTGTAATTTTCATAGGTATAACGCTTTTTCCTCGATTTTAACATTGAAAATGTTTCTGTTATCCTATATAAGGGAGCCCAAATCGAATTAAAATGCTACATTTGCCACACCATGACGTCATATATACAAGGGTATAGGAAATCTCGGCGCAGCGGCGGCAGTCGGCCAGCGCGCGCAAAAACCATTACATCACTAATTGTTTATTGATATATCTTTATTAGTTTAAAAGCAAAAAATATGGGGTTTGCTTTGATACCTTGTCAAGACATAAGCGAAACTTTTAAATTGTTTCTTTTTTTCATTTAGGCCTTCGTTTTTCGTTAAATGAAAGTTATATTAAAAAAAATCTATTTTTAAACCAAATTTTCGCATGATTGAAATGATTATTCATGTTTAAAGTTTTTTTTTGGTCATAAGCGCTAATGGAAATATTTTTTTGTAAATAATTACAAAAAATTACTCCCTAATAAGACTTTATTGTGTACTGGATCAAAAAATAAGTATTTGTTTTCTCTATACGGTTGTATTAATATATCGATTTTTGATGATAGTGCCGTTTTACCCGGTCTAATTTTGTACTACTTTCGGAATAAGGGTCCCCATATCATGTACTGTACTTCCATCCCTGAAAAATTCAGCTTGTGACACCGAAGTGAGAGGTTACGTCAAAATAAGCTTTAATCTACCTACATCATAGGTAGGTGTAGGTACTCTTGGTATATTCTACCTAGACAGTAGCTGAACTAGCTGACAGTAGTAATTAATTTGTTATCCGATAAGTAGTTGTCATTATATAAGTTTAATCATCTTATACCTCCTATAACGGTAGGTTTTGGATTTTTCCTGATTGGTTTGTTAAACAAAAATATACTGGGCATATAAATGTCTGTTACAGGTTAATTCGTTAAAGAAATATGTTACACACATATTATTTTAATAATAATAGTATAATAGTAATGGCTATATTATGTTATAACACATACATATGTATTGAATGTACTTATTTTAACCAATGCATTGTTTTGTTTTTTTAATCTCACAAATAAGAAATGTTTTATAGTTTTTATTATAAAAAACAGTGATTATACAATTTATTTACACCCCTTACACTGTTTTCTGTAAGGGGTGTAACCAGGAGTATATTTCGTAACCTCTTACGATATAAGAGGGCCCCCCCCCCCACAAAGTGTTTTATTACTTAATGCTTAAAATTTATAATATATTTGTACATAAAATAAAATAGACCAGAAAGTCAATTAATTAATATTGACGTAATTACTAAATAAGTACAAGATTTTTTTTCTAATTATTTTAGTGTATTTTTAGTCACCTAATTATAAAGGAGAGATATCCAAGCATTGCATTATTTTACTCACAAATAAATATTTTGTGGTTTTTATTATAAAACAACGATTAATTTATTATACACCCCTTAACCCAAACACTCCAAGGAGGATATTTCGTGACCCCTTATTTAAAGTGGACAAGCTTTATTAGTCAATGTTTTAATTACCCAGCGTCTTTAATAAAAATCTAATGTAATTTTTCATAGAAATGATCTGACATAAAAAGCAAATTTTATCAAAAAACTTTTTGATTATCTACAAGGAGTAAACCGCTGACAAATGTCTGTTTACTAATGCCAAAGTAATGCCAAAAATACAAATTAAATACCAAAATTTCTCATATAATGCCCCACTAATGCCAAGCTAATTCCAATATAATACCACCATAGACTTAGAATAAAATATAGACTGAGCATCTCATTCATAAATAGCTGGAAGATGCGGACAGACAACGTCTTGTTATTGTTGTGTTATTGTTTTTGGCTCTAACGAGTGCGACACGAGCGATAGATAGGCTGTCTCCGTCGTAACGGTCGTTTCCTGACGGCTCTGCCGCCCAACGCAACACTGTCTTATGTTTCTTCAGTGCACCTGCACTCTCCGTATCATAGGCGGGTATTTTTTTTAATTTTAATGAAGCTATAATTCAATTAAAAATATATCGTATTTAAACTTTTTTATATTATTAAGATTTAGGATAAAGAAAATAGTTTAAATATAAAAGCAAAGTTTAGGACTTAGAAAAAATACGTCTTAGAGTCTAAAAACGATAAAAATAATAAAGTACGTGTTATAGAAGAAATTTTAATAATCGAAATTATTTAATTTTTGAAATTGATGATAAATTATTAATTTAATAAAATATTAATTTTAGTCAAACATTTACAACTCTAATATTAATCAAAACAGGATCTATTCTATAGATATAATAGAACAGAAAGAGAAAAAACTTTATAATTGTTTAATTTTTTTTTCCGGTAAAAGTGATGTCTTATTATGTAAATTAGAAAAAACAGGAATCTGTTCCATTAAAGCAAGCTTTTAGGAAGTGAATAAAATGAAAACTACATTTATTTAACTCGTTACTGTCTTTATTATAGAGTAAGTATAATAATGGTAATGGTGACTATACTTTATTCAATGGAAATATGCACCAAATTCAAACAAATATAAAAGGCATGAGTATAAACAGTATTACTACAGTAATATTGAACATTGGTTCAAAAATATTACATTAATATAATACAATATTACTGTAGGTATTACTGTCAACGTGCAAGCTTGTTTGAAGCTTGATGTATTTGTATGCGCTTGGTACATCTTGGCGTTGGAAAATGTATAGAAAATTATTAAGAAAAACTAGTACGTAATGGGGGATATCTTGATATACAGAGTGGTCGGAATTGTATTCAGGAAACTTTGGCAGCATAATCTGCAAATAAAATCAGTAAAAAAAATAGTATAAATTTATGTCCTAAAATGCTTCGTTTCAGAGATACAGAGTGTAGAAATTTCATTTTTATTTCGCTTTTTTCCAAATAATTTATGAAGAATGTATTGATTAATTCGTTTCCAAATATCTTGAGAACTATACTTGTGGCGAGTGTCAACAAGAGACCTTATTAAGTAAAAAACGTTGGAAATGTAAATTTTTCTCAGTAGTTTTATATAGATACAGACAAAAAGTATTACTCTTCAAATAACTTAAAAAATATGTAGGTGGCGCCCCCTATTAGTAAAAGTCAAATTGACATCTAAATCTAATTTTTCATGTCAAAAAACTCCCAAACGCCAATTTTCGTCCAAATATTGACGTCACTTCAGAAATTATTTGGAAAAAAATCGAAATAAAAATGAAACTTCTACACCCTGTATCTCCGAAACGAAGCATTTTAAAAACTTACAAGTTCATTTTTTTAGAAAGCCAATGCAACATTTCTGAGTTTCAAATAAAGATAAAAAACAGTAAAACATATAATAATAATATGTAAATTATTTTCTTGGATACATACATATATGGCAAATAATAACAGATTGTTTTATTAAAGATTTACGTTTTGGTTAATTCTAAAACTATCTTCAGATTATATGTGATATTACTTAAGTGATATTACATTATAAAAGAAAAAATGAAAATTATACCTTATAATCGAAAAAAAACGGCGTCAGCGATGGCTATGAAATGAAGATCGCTGTCATTTTATATGTAAAATTATATGGAGTATGTATCGATGGTTTTTTCCAAGCCAACTGGACGCCGTTTTTTTCGATCATACGGTATTACAAATTAATAATAGATTAACAGTCGAGAAAAAAAAAGAAAAAACTCTAGGTAAGTACTGGATAAATTTTAAAATGGCATATTTATTTTATCTTTGTTTAATATAAAAAAAACGAAATATCTACCTGGTTTACATAACCCTGTATAATTTGTGAAATAATAATGGACAAAAATGCAAGCGGTAAGAAAAATATTTACAAAAAATATGTACTTGTTTACATTTCTGGACCATTGTTCGTCATTTTTGTTATCATAATGGTGACCCTATCATAAAAACGTAGTTATTTCTATACCTGATGTGAAACTATAGGGAAAAAGTAATGTTTGTAAAATATTTTAGTCTTGAAAAAAAATAAGGAATGTTTGGTATTTTAAAATGTTTGGTAGCTTGTAATTTTTTCGACTTTCTCGATTGTTTATAGTTTATAATAAGCCTTAAAAATTGTTGTTTCATAATGGAATATCATTCTGGAATTCCTGTATGTTATTTTAGATTCTAAGGATGGTTTTAGAATAAAAAGAAACACATTTTTCATAAAAAAAAGCATTAAATTAACCAATGCCCAAGAAAATAATGTGTCTACTTCTTATGTACTTAATAATGTATCTACTCGTTATATTAATAACGAGGTTAGTAAGAACCTTTACGTAAATGATAAATATAAAAAATACAGATTTTCCAGGGTTTATAATTTACTAAATTATTATCTAAATAAGCGCCTTTCTACAACGCCACTGACGCCAAAATAGTAAATTTGACTTACCTGTGGAATGTTGTTCCAGGACTTAAATAGTCCAATTTCTTACAAATTTGGCACTGACGAACCATGTTTTATAGTTTTTAAATAAAAAAGTAATCAAAATAAACACTAAACCGACACTACACACTAAGAAAATCGAATCCAAAAAAATACAAAATCAAAACATCCAATAAAAACAATAAAATAGCCATGGCGAAACTGTGACAACAAGGTTTTACGACACGTGCTTTACTCTACTATGGCTCTACTACGAGAGAATAAAGAATGAACAGGCGACCCGGCGATTGATGGGTGTTGCCAAATTGTAAAGAATTTGTCATTTTTAAATAGTCTCCGACTTATAATTTAGTAGTATAGGGACTATTTAATACATCTTTCTACTATTAAACACTACTTTATTAAAATACAGTTTTAATATCTCAATATATGTGTATAACAACAAAAAAAATATTAATAATATTTTAGACGTGACAACATAGGCTGGAGGCGAAAGACTCAGACGGCCGAGGTCAGCTGCACCCAGGAGTAAACATGTTTACAAAAATTAATATTGGACCGCGCTTAAATGTAAATAGTGTAGTCTATATTTTATTCTAAGTCTATGAATACCACTAATACCACGAATAATATGTAACACATTTGTTTCACGCATTAACCTGTAACAATACTGGTAGGTACGTGCACAGATTTTTTCCTAGGTAACTTAAAAGTCGTTAAAAAGTCTAATTATATTTAAAGAAGATATAATTCCAACAAATTACATTATAAGGCCAATAATGCAAGTAATACCATTAAAATTTTTAGCGTTTTTTAACTTGTGTAATATAGTTCTTTAACGAATTAACCTGTAACAATAGTGGTAGGTACGCGCACAGATTTTTTCGCTAGGTAACTTATTAAGTCGTTAAACAGGCCTATAAAAGCTATAACAACATAGGTAACTAATATTTATAATTTAATTCGAGTTTTAATCTCAAATAATAAATATTTTTACTGGTGTATTTCTTAAGTGTTCATTATTAAAAGTAGATATTCTTCAAGTTATGCGAAGTAATAAGTAATGTTTCCATTGTTTCCGGTGAGACCGCGTATATGTCACCGGATTCTAGTTAGTATAAAGACTTTTTCTATAGAAAGAGTTTTTTTCTATATTTTCCTTTCAAAATAAGACTAATTTCTTCTTATTCTTTTAAATATTACAGTGTTTCTTTTTCCTAAAATGTTATACTTAATTTTCGCTTAAAATTAAAAAATCACCAAATGGAGGAAAATATACGTTATTGAATAAAGTTTATACAAATCACTTTACCATAACAAAAAAGTAAAAACATGTCATGGCGGAAGATATTCAGGTGGCATTTCATATTTATCTATTAAAATCGAGATTAAAATAATAAACTTGCGTAACATGTTATACACGAGATAGAAAGTTTCAGAATCGATTAATACGCAATACGCTACGCAGTCAACTTATTCCTATGCGCGGATGAGCGTCTTCAAGACTCTTCCTTCGGCCAGGGTCACGACGCCGCCGAAGAGGAATCGGCCTACGTTTGGCTAAACAGGCTGGACACATATACTCTATATATATAGAGAGTACGATATTGGCGAGTCTGAATATTTATAAAAATTTGCAAAGTAAAATATGTTGGAAAAATAATTAATCCATACATATATAAAAGCTCAAAGGTTTTTTTTGTTGCATCCATCCCACCGAAACCGCTTTACTAATCTTGATGATTCTTTTTTTTAAATGAAAGGTATATAATGTGTAGATTTGTTATGAAGTATTTTTATAGTGCTTAATTGCTATTTTTTGTGTAAAACGACTAAATACTAAAACATACCTGAAAAACACCTACACACAATACCTCCAGAAATAAATTATTTGTCATTGTCAGTGGTGTGTCAGTTAGATTAAATATTACCTTTTTAGATATTTTAGAGTGAGTTCATGTCGCCAGTTTTAGATACATAAATATTAGCACAAAGGTTCGTTTAAACGACATTAGTGAATTAGCTACACAAAGCGATTTTAGGAAATTCATCCTCTTAGAGAGTAAAATTATCTCGGAACAGTTTGTTGTATGAAAATTCCTTACTATTTGGTCTAGAAGAATGAAATCCTACAAAAAGAATTAAAAGAAATTTTTGAAATTCATCAACCAAATGGGTAAAGTTAGTAAAAATTTATATAAAACTTGGTGACCTCTGGATCATACAAATAAAAATTGGCACAAAGGTAAAGCGAATTTATGAAATTTATACCCTTAGGGAGTAGAATAGGGAATGAAAGTTTGCTGTACGAAAATGCAATACTATAACATTATAAACCAGACAGTATAAAATTTTATACAAGGGTTTATTTAGTGACATCATAACGAAATATATCTTCCTCAATTATCCTTCAAAGAATGAAAAATAACCTATAAAGAGAGTATTAGTGCTCTTAATAAATAAAAAAAAAGATGAAAAATAAAAAACATCTATGCTCACTAGCTCTCTATAAAGAAGTAAAAAATCATTTAAATCAATGCATGAACGATTCGAGGTGTAACGCGAACGTAGTTGCGAGAAAAAGCTAGTAATTTATTAAATTATTTTATTTAACTCATTAATTTTCATTGAAAAGGAATTTTTGTAATTCGCCACTATATTAGTTAAAAACTAAGAAACTCGATTTTAAGTTTTGCGATTTTGACTTTTTAATACTTTTTACAAATACTATATACTTTTTACAAAATCTGAACACATTTTAAAAGACAAAAAGTTTTTGATAATATTTGTGTAGATTGACTAAGTTGATTGAACTGATTGAAGTTGTATAACATAAATTTCTTCGACCAGTCTACCTGGTGGTCTGCAGCATCGCATTGTGGTGCAAACGTGGACCTGTTAATCTGTGACGTGACGCACAACAGCCAAGAAAAACAGAAGCGTGGCTAAGAATTTAGTAATTTAAAAAAAAGTCTTTTAGATACAGTAGTAGGTATTAAAAAGTTTTGTGTTTAAATGGGGTTTGCCTTTAACAGTTAAAAAATTATATCGTAAAGTGTAACTTTCCGTAAGAATTCTTTATCTGTCATTGATCATGATCTGTCATCATGTTAACCTGATGTTTTGTATGTTATTTTGTTTTTTCGAGGTTTTTTGCTTGCTTGTTTTACGGATAGGTGCGATCGCATAATTATTATTGATAATGTTTTATTTAATTTTAACATTACTACTTTTTCAGTGAATCTTTAAATCTGTTGTTTTTTGTTAAGTTCGTTATTTAAACATATGTATGTAATATACTCATATTAACACTAATCATATTTTTACGTTTTTATTCATCATTTTCAATGCCACCCCGGTTGCATCTTTGTAAAGGACTGTGAATTTTTTCACTGAAATTTCGACATTGAAAAAATTGTTGGTTACAACCGAGGAGCCATTCAATCATTATTTAATTATTACATTAATGTTTACTAAGCAATATTAACCAAAATAAATTTGACTTATTTATATTACTAACTTTACTAATTTTTGTAAATCAGTTCAATTTTTCATGTTTCAAATTGCACACCAAGTTATTGATTGGGTTCAGTTTTTAACACATACACACACACAAAACAGTTTTAAAACACAACAACAAAACAAACAGCAAAAATTAACAAGTTAAATCAACAAAAACCATTAACAAACAACAATAAATAATCAACAACTTTACAGTTTTTACACGGTTAGGCCGAAGCAGCCGAATATTAATATTAGCATAAAGGAAGACGAAGCGAACTGCCCAAAAACTCATTCACATAGGTCGCCGATAAAAAATTTCAGGGCGGGGAACTTACATGCTGCTGCTAGGCTGACGTCACGTTACCATGGAAACCGTGCAGCCGTTCGGCTCACAAATGTTTTCTCTTTACTTGTGGCTTCGTGGAAACGTAGGCGCGTGCTGGCCAATAATGCTACTTTTTCGGCCGGAATTAACGATGCGGTGGACCTATTATGCAGAGGTCCGGAAAAAAAATAATTTATGAAAAATTACCATTTTATTATTTAGATACATGTAAATATATTAAACTAAATTAATATTTTAAGCAGTAGATTTTTCTTTAATTTGAGTATTTTTTTCGGTGAAGTGCCCGTTTACCTACTGCACCTGACGAGCCGCGACTGATTGTCACTCCCGGTAGTCTCTTGACGCCGTTTTTTTTCGATCATATGGTATAATCGATAAGGGATTAAATGCATTAATAAATTAGATAGATAAAAATCTCCCGAGTTATGGAATATTCCTCCGATATTTATCCACAATATATTCCTAGTACAATTTCTAATTTACCGATGGAGACGGTTCTACTGGTTCACAGCTACTGAAAAAGCTAGACCTTTTTACTGCTAATGTTTATACAGGCAGTCCTCGTACTTACGGCAGGTTAGGTTCTTCAAAACAGCGCCTTAAGGGTGCAGCCACACTATCCTAAAAACGGCGTATCGGCGTAACGGCGTAATGACCTTGAATAGATTTCCAGTAATTCTATTGGCTGAAACATTCATCTGTCAGAAATTTTATATGTCAAATTCATCTGTCAAAAATTTCAGCCAATAGAATTACTGGAAATCTATTCAAGGTCATTACGCCGTTACGCCGATACGCCGTTTTTAGGATAGTGTGGCTGCACCCTAAGTCGAAACGACGTAAGTCGAATCTTATTTTGTCATAAGATTCTATAGAAAATGGAGAAGTTAGTAAGATAAAAATACAATAAAACAAAGAGATGTGCGTTTGTATATATTAATATTATTGTAATATTATTGTATTTTGAAATAATTGAGGTATGAGAAACAGTTTATTGTATATGTAGTTAAACTTATAATAATACAAGAATAAGAAAAAACGGAAAACACAAAAAAAGAAAAAAATAAAAAACGAATTATATTTTAGAAAGTATTATTTTATGAAAAACATAATTAGAATATTTTTAGTCCCGCTTTTTTACTATCTAATCAAAAAAGGTATTTTTAACTATCCATAATAGTAAATATAATACATAAATATGGCAACTACAGAAATACCATAGAGTAAAGTAGATATATTTATAAAGT